TTGAATTAATTTACTGCTTCAAAATATGCTTTGAAATTTTCTTTACCGAGTGTCAAAAAAAATAACACTCGGCAAAGAGGCTCTTTGCCGAGTGTCAAAACAAAACACTCGGCAAAGAAACTTCTTTGCCGAGTGTAAAAAAAACACTCGGCAAAGAAGTTTTTTTTGCCAAGTGCAAATTGCATGTTTGAGGACCTAAACGAATTCAAATAAAAAAGTTGTAAACTATAAAGTTTCATAACTTTTCGAGATCTACACTTTTAGTTTAGGAAGTTTTCCCATCCGAGGTCGTTTACAAAATTTGAATTTTAAAAATTTGAAATTCAAACGCAGTTTTGCATGACAAGATGATTTCAAATCAAAAAGTTGTCAATTACAAAGTTTCATAACTTTTTGAGATCTACAAAGTTTATTTTGGTTGTTTGATCATCTGTTTATCCAACATGGTCGTTCTAACATTGTTCACAAATCTTATATATCTCTATTGTAGTTTCATAAACTACAAGAGAGATATGTTAGATTTGTGAACAATTTTACTTTCACTTTGTCATATGAAGAAAAGACCAAAACAAACATTGTACATCTTGATGAGTTATACAACTTTGTAGTTGAAAACTTTTTCATTTGAATTAATTTACTGCTTGAAAATATGCTTTGAAATTTTCTTTACCGAGTGTAAAAAAATAACACTCGGCAAAGAGGCTCTTTGCCGAGTGTCAAAAAAAACACTCGGCAAAGGCCGCTTTGCCGAGTGCCCGAAAAACAACACTCGGCAAACCACCTGGCACTCGGCAAAGAGCCGGTCTCCGGTAGTGGGGGACTTTAAAAATAATTGACACAAACAGTTATCTCCTACCTAAATTTGCAATAAATGTGTGTGAGAATATGAAATGCATTATTGCACATGTTTTTTCTTTGAATGATCTAGACATAGTCTGGCATATATATCAATAAGAAGGTGCTGGATTACATGAGCAAGCAGCGCAATGGCATATATAGCTAAGCTTAACAGAGCATGTTAAATCATCCTTTACATATTCCCTGCTTCAATGCTGTACGCAGCATACCATCAGGAAACAGTCTCTATAGTCTACAACTCTACACAGAAGCTTGTGAATCTGCCAATGCGGTTCAGGGCATTTTTGCTTCAAAAAACATTGATTCAGACCGACACGCACATATATTGCAATTGCTAGTATTTTTCTTTAGAAATAAAACAACACAAGGTTGTTTTGAGGGGAAATAAAACAACACAAGTCGCTTTGATAAATCCAGCATGGTACCATTGAGCAAAATTGCAGTCCAACATGCATCAGTTTTATGTACTACTGCGGTAACATGGCTTGGGTCATGGTCAGAATCAAAACCTGATGTATGCCCAACCAAGCAACAAACTGCCAACTGAGATTTGATATAAGTAGTTCTCTGAATCTGCAGGTTGCTGTACAAAATACAAAAAATTGGTTGTATCCATCTATTTTGACATCTATATGGCGTATTGTCCCATTGGAGGCTCAAAAAGGAGAGAGTTATGCGCGACCCATCACGCGTGTGGAGGAACGTGCGACCCCACCCGCGCCCACTACCGCCGCGCCACCGCTCGTGTCCAGCAGCACCCCGTTGCCTCGTCACCCTGCCTACCGTTCGCCCCCGCCCTCAGCTAACCTGTCGTATTCATTACCGGTCGCTGACGAGCCTCCCCCACCCCTGGTCCACCCTAACCGCTGCCTCCACCACCACGGCCGGCGGCACTCCGCTGCCTCGCCGCCCTGCCCACCAACCGTCACCCGCTGCCGGACCAACCTGCCGCCAGGGATCCAGAGTAGGGAAGAGTTCCAAACCCTAACCCGCCTCTGGTGAGCCGGCACCGTCGACGGTGCGACGGTCGCGAAGTGTCGCAAACCCACGACCATCGCGCATTAGAGTTTACGCTCAAAAAAAGCACAAATGTGCAGTTGCGGCACAACTAAGACCCATTGTCAGACGAAAATCAGAAACCAAATGTACTGGTGTTACACAAATCGAATAGGCATCACAAGATGAAACTGAGGCATGGAAGTTGATACATCACCTTCCAGCTTCTGCCGACGGCGGGTAGCTGGAATGAACAGCATGTGAGTTGGGTGGTCATGATTGGCGTCATTTGCGGCGAGCCGGCCGTCGCTATGCGTAGGTGGCAGCCGCAACCCTACGCCAGCACTGCCCCATCTCCTCAAGGGCCCAACCCAACCCAGTAGGAGACGAAGGCGAGATTGATTGACTACATCGAGGAGGGAGGAGCGGGGCCAGACTGGGAGCCACGATGATTGGCAACCCAGGAGGCGAAGGCGGCAAGAACTGGCCAATATTCTTGCAGCCTGAACAGAGGCGTCTAATAACAATGATGAAACATGAATCCACGAGAGCTAGGACGAGTGCTAGGTCCATGCCGAGCTGAGGAGGATCCATGAGTAGTAGACCTCTTGCAGCGTACACTCCTAACTAATTACGGAAGAAGGACTTGCGCCTTGCTGCTGTTGAGTCATGGCTACAATATACAAGGAGCTGTCTATCCAATAACTAAGTGTCAAGCACCCGATTTTTTCAATGTTCTTCTTCCTCCTCGCCCCCGCCGCCGCCCACGGAGCTCAGCCGAAACCCTAGCTCAACCGCGGCGGCCTCCTCCTTCCCCTCCCCCCTCCCCTTTCCGCGTGGCGAGCTTCGACCATGGTTGCCTCCGCCCCGACCTAGTCCGGCCGCCTCCCCCGCCGCCACCCCACTGCGCTGCCTAGCCGGCCTCCCTCCCCCGATTTCCCCTTCTAAGGCTGCCAGATTTGGAGACGAAGAGGAGGAGAGTCGTCGGATTTGGAGAAGAATGAGAGAGGGAGAGGAATTGAGTGTTGAGAGGGAGAGAAACAACCCAGTGTTGTTTAGCCTTTCTTCGTACTCCCTCCGTCATGTAATATAGCGCATTTTAGCTTTCAAAATTTATCCTCAAATATAAGGCATTCTAGAAGACAGAAACCGTTTTGCATTAAATAATTTCCATTTATCAACCAATCACAACTAATGGTGTTGATGATAGAGTCTTATTAGGAAATAAAGTGAGGAAACACATGTATTTTGTATTCTCTCTTAATCTGTCCTAAAATTTCTAGAATGCACTATATTACGAGACATAGAGAGTATATAATAAGCTGAAGCTCCAAAAATAGCGAGCTGAGTCAGCAGCACACGAAAGGATGAACCACTATATTACGAGACATAGAGAGTATATAATAAGCTGAAGCTCCAAAAATAGCGAGCTGAGTCAGCAGCACACGAAAGGATGAACGCCAGTGTCCAACCGGACTTGAATCCAAGGATGGCGACCGGAAAGGCACCGGGTGCCACGCACAGCACGGAGACAAGATTAGTGCAGAAAAAAATTGCCAACAAGAGGATGAGGTGCGGCCACATGCTCCCAGCCTTCTTGTTCACTTATTTCGAGCGCAATGTGGCGTTGGGTGCTAAATGGTATCTCTAGTGGTGCTAGAGAGATAACGACGACAGATAAAACGTCGCCAATCAGTAGTCAGTCTCCGACTATGCAAAGAGATGTCCGTAACACCTAACAAAAGTTGTTCGAAAAAATATTAACAAAAAAAATTATGGATCGATGCTAAGTTAAACTATCTTTAATTTGACCATTTTTTTTCAAAATATATTAATATTTATGATATCAAAATAACTGTCATGAAATATAATTTTTATTGTATATTTGGTAGGTATTACTATTAGTATATTGTTTTCTTTAAAATTTAGTCAAATAATTTGTCTTAGATCAAATTATAATTTTCAAAGTATATCTATTAATAATTATAATTAAGTATATACAAAGATCATTAATTATGATTCTTAATAGATATTACTGCTTTAGCTCATTAGTTATTTTAAAAACTTATTATCTGTGTGCAAGCTAAAAAATTGAAACCAGCTATATGAACTTAATAAAATGGATTTGTGCTTTTGTAGTTTCTACTCACAATTGAAGCTTATAAGTTTACGTAATCAGGTGCCGTGTTCAATCCATCTAGAAAAAAAGGTACCCCACGTGTTTAGTAATTAGAATACCCCACGTGTTGCTAACATGGACAAAATAAATAATGTTAGTGGATGATGTAGCTTTTAATGATATGGCCAACTTGAATGAATGGATAGGTGTCGTAATTGCATGCGGTAGTGGGTTGCTAATATAGATGCCTTGCATGTCGAGATAGAATTCATAGTGGGATTTAGAATTATATAAGATACTATAAAAATACCCGCCCGTAGCCGCGTCACTTTTTTCAAAAATAAATTTGTTATATATATAGCATTACTGTATGATAACCTAAGTACTGTGTATATACATGAGCTTGGTTTGAATGCTATTTTATTGCATCAGATTTGGTAAAACCCGATAAGCTAATGGAAGAAAAGCCATAGAATATTAGATGAATTTATAGAAGGATAGGATGATTAAACAAACAGCGTATGTAAATGATTTCTACGTTGGTAGATAAAAGTAAAGATGTTGCACATTTTATAATTTTTTAATTGATAATAGACGACACGGATAGCTTGCATGAAAAGATTACAAGCTAGTGAGACACTTAGTGGGGGATGATGTGAACACTTGAAAAGATTATAAGCTAGTGGGGTACTTAGTGGGGAATGATATTGACACCTTACATGAATAGATAGAAGACCTAATGGTGATTAACTTTATTATTATATAGATATAGATATAGATATAGATTGCTTGGCATTTTGCCTATCAGTTTGTGATCTGTCATATGCTAGTCATTTCCTTGATGGTTATACTTTGCTCCGAACACGCTATTTTGTGTTCTAATTTAATTTTCATGTGGATAAATTGCTTGTCCACCTTCTATATCAACATATCGTATATAGAGAGAGTACGTCACTATATATAGCTAGACAAGTGTACAGGTACTCTTTATTTATTTACAAAAGTGCCTACTGCAGTCTGCAAAGGTTCATGCTTGCAGGGGTTTCACGACAAGGGTCAAGGCAGACTTAAGAGCAGGCGACAGGCCACTAGACTCGACAACTTCAAATGAGTCAACGTCATGGCCCTCCGGAAGCTCCCAATCAAAATGAAATAGCAAATTGGCAAGTGCAAGCTCAGCGAGGCACGTTGCAAACGCAGTGCCTGGGCATCCCCTCCTCCCAGCGCCAAATGGTATGAACCGATAGCCCTTGCAACTGTAGTCACCGGCATCGTTCATAAACCTCTCTGGCAGGAACTCCTCAGCGTTCTCCCAAGACTGGCTGTCCCTCCCAATCGCCCATGCATTGATGATGACCCGAGTCTTGGCAGGGATGTCGTAGCCGTGGAGTTTGGTGTCCTGGATCGATTCACGGGGGATGAGCAGCGGCACCGGTGGATGTAACCGCATGGCTTCTTTCAGGGCCGCCTGCAGTCTGCTCATCCTCCCCAGCTGCTCCTCTAGGACTCCTTGTGCCCCTGCAACTTGCCTCACCTCCTCTTGAACTTTTTCCATCTCTCTTGGGTTCTTGATAAGAAATGCCATTGCCCACTCTATCGCCTTGGAAGTTGTATCGATTCCTGCTACAAACAAGTCCTGCAATACGAAATTTTTCCACATATTAGTATACACAACAAAGCTGGTTTCTTGGTACAAATTAGCCCTTAATCCTTAGGACTTACCAGGACGAGTCCCTTGACATCGATCCTGTCCAGCATAAACCCGTCGCCACCCTCCTTCACTGCCGAAAGCAAATCGTCAAGCAGGTCACCACCAGCCTCGCCGCTATTTTCCAAGCTCTTCTCGTGCGCCTGGAGTGTTCTTTCAAGAACGTCGTCAAGCTTGGTTGCCGTCCTCTTTATACTTGCGTCGAGGCCCATCGCCCAGTCCACCCACCGGACACTACCGGATTCCCGGCCTTTGCCGAGAGCCCGAAGCTCTCGGCAAAGACGAGCTGACGCTCGGCAAACTATTTGCCGAGAGCAGCTCTCGGCAAAGAGCCGTCGGCAAAATATCTACCGGCAAAGGATTCTTTACCGAGAGGCCCTCTCGGCAAAATATTTACCGAGAGTAATGGCAAGGCTCTCGGCAAACTCTAGCTCTCGGCAAACTGGCATGCCCTAGTAACGGCCAAACAACCGGTAACGGTGTGACAGCTTCTTTGCCGAGAGCGACCGTCGGCAAAGAATTGTAAAAAAAAAAGATTTGCGGTCGAGGTGGTTTTCAAAAAAATAGGTTTGCCGAGAGCCGACCACCTAGCTCTCGGCAAAGAGGCAGATTTGTCGAGAGCCCTACTCTCGGCAAAGAGTCCAGAGAGCATTTTTTTATTTTTTATTTATATTTCCAGCTTCAACGACACATTTCACAAATATAACACATCATCCACATCACATATATCACAAATATGTCATCCACATCACATGTCTCATATTATAATCCATCTAAACATCTCAAATCCAACAACACATGTCCATCTCAAAGTGCTAAGTTCATCTCACACAAGTTCATGTCACAAAGTGCTAATACATGATGAAGAACAACAGGCTCACTCCCAAGGCTCCCACCCTCCCGACGGTTGCTTGCGAGGCAAGGGACGGTGTGGATCTGGGTGATACCCGACCCTCCCTCCCGGGGTCATTGATGCGGCGGAAGTTGTGGATACTGGTTGGTGCCACGACCCTTCCGACGACGGGTGCTTTCAGCACATCATTCGAACCTCACCGATTGATTATGCACAAAGGAGAAGAAAAATTAGTAATTATAGTAATACTAAGACATATAATTGTAATCTAAGCGTAGACAAGTCAAAATTTGTAGAACTAGGTATAAAATTGTAATCTAAGCCTAAACACATCAAAATTTCGGCAGCACCTCCCCTGCACGGTGGGGTTTCCAAAACCTACAAGAAAACCAACGGCACGATGGCCGCCCACCACATATCAACGGCATGATGGCCGGCACACATATATATCAACGTCACGAAGGCCTCCCATCACATATCAACGGCACGATGGCCAACATGCACAGTAAAGAGCTTTTGTTAGAGAAGTTGAACTCACGTATGAGTAAGGTGGGTATGGGTAAGGCGGTGGAGGAGCGAACAGCTCAAGTGGCGCTGGACGACCCATCGTGACGCCAAGACTTGCCACGATCGAGCCAAGGCGTCAAACCCGCCCGCTCGGCCTCCCACCCTGCCGCTCGCGCCTCCCGCTCCCCCCTGCCGCTCTTCCTCCACCCTAGCCTTATGCTCCTCGAGCGCATGCACCTGGGCCTATAATTTTTCACCGCATTGTTACAAGCAATTTTGAGGAATGTAAAACCAATGAACGATGAATAAAACAGAAATAACCTGTAGTGCTGCCACACGATGCGTTGAAGTGTCCTGCCTTAGGCGTATGGGCACGCTATACCGCTCGTGCTGCTTGTCCGGACCTATGAGAGTGGGAGTGGTAAAAGGGTCGAGCGTGTTGTTGCCGATGAGGTACCGCCCATGCTTCTTGCCTCCTCCCACCCTCATGACGATGTCACCGTCAATGTCCGCATGTGCGGATCCCGATCTGCCCATGGACTCCCCTTGCCGCCTCGGTAATCGACCGATGCGCTCGGGATGCTCTCGTTGGTGAACGACTCTTACTGGGTCGTCCGGGTTCCGATTGATGTTGTTCGTCGCCTTGCCCTTGTGGGCCGTAACCCATGACTTGAGCTCTCCGCATGGCTGGTTTTGATGTGCAGCCGATCGTGAGAAAAACAACAAGACGATTATAAATCATGCGCAGAATAAACGTCTGAAAGAATAAATGAAGCTAAACCAAGTCACGTACCCATCTAGCCCTGAATTCGTGGATGTTAAGGTTGCCCTGGTGGTGTGATACACCTAGCATCAGCAAACGTCGTTCCCGGAAGATGGTGTGGTTATCCGCCCAATTGCCACTCACCCACCTGTCGACCATCATCTGCCAGGCCCGCGTTTTATTGGCGCACCAGCCAGGAGGCACCTGTACGACATCAAGTACATTGACAGATATAAGAACAATTCAAGCCTACCCAATCTTAGAAGAAATCAATATTGATGTTGTATATTTACCTTCAAGTACAGCTCTTTAATCAGATGCATTAATCTTGCATCTTCTTTCTTTACCTTCCGATGCTCGTAGACGGCACAGTAATCGATGATGGCCTGGAGCCGCGCCTCGTAATGCATGTCTGAGATGCGACCTCTAAAAGATTTGGCCGACACACCTTGGCCCTCGCCTCGTAGCCCTCCCAAGCATTTGAAGAAGTCCTGCATATAGAAAAGATGTATCAATACACCGGTTCAAGAAACTCTAGCGAATGCAATGTATTGAGCAAAGTAGTGGGAGGAAGACTTACCCAAAACTCGCACATAACCCGCTCCGCCACGCCAGACGTGCGGCCCGTCTAAATCCTCCGCATCGTGGGCGGCGTAGTGCTCGTCACGTGTAGGCGGCCCGAGCTTGGCATAGCGAACCAAGCCAGGAAGTGTTCCCTGCAGAGAAGACCCAGGATGCCATTGGGCAACCTTTGTGAGCACACAGGACCACGACCTTCCAAGACTGCGTAAGTGATTAAGAAAAAACTGTTAGTTTCCATTGTGATTCTATCATATGTAGGAGCGAAAAAATGTAAAAGTTACGATTTTTGCCCAACGGGTCGAATGACCAGGCGAGAGCCTCGTGTATCGGCCGCTCGCTGTAGGCTCGCCGGACCTCATTGGTAGACACCCGAGGTTCCGATGGAACTGGAACCTCCCGCCTCGGCCTCCCGCTGTCTTCCCGCCTCCTCCTGCTCGTCTCAATTTGCTCGGCCTCCGCTCAGCCTCCAGCTCGTCCTCTCTCGCCGAGCCCGCTTCGTCCACCCGCTCTTCCTCCCGCTCCTCCTCGGCTCTGGGTCTGCTGCTGCAGAAGCCGAGGGGTGGCGCCCTAGGCCTCCTCCTGGCCGCCTCCTCCTCCTCGTCCCCCCGAGGTGGTGCTGACCCCAGCTTCACCGAGGGGCCCTGTATCTTGCCCCGTGTGTCAGAAAGCGACGACCGCCCAGAAAGCTCTACGGCCCGCCATCTTTGCACAATCACCTACAAGACATAAACAATAAGATCGGATTAGATGGATCATAAACAAGACATTATTATAAAGAGATGCAAAATAAATAAAGCATAATTAAAAAATAACATAATATTACATGTATTAGAAATAATCATCCCCATCGGGATTAGCCTGGATCATAGCTCTCATCATCACTATCACCATGTCGAAATGTTCAACACTTTCCAAAGGAGCAACTATGTCATCATTGCCATTGCCAATATGTAATCCTTCAAGTAACACCAAGTCCTTCGCATTTTCCACCTCATCCCCCTCGTCCACATCAACATCCATTTCATTGTCTACTTCCATTTCCATAGCTCCGGTTAAGTCAATCTCAAAAGTCCCTTGTAGGCCCTCTTCTTGATAGAACTCTCCATCATATTTGTTTGGGTCGAAGTTGTAGTCTTCGGCGTTTGGGGAAGGTGCTTTACCGTGCGGCGATACCTTGTGCACAATATCCCAACCTCAAGACGAGGGTCCCTTGGCACGCAGTAGGGGAGATAATAAACTTGTGTGGCCTGTTGAGCCACAATATAGACATCCTTTACGCCATAGACGGAATCTCGTCAATTTCTACTAGCCCAAGGGAAGGACTTCGCCTCGTTTCTTGAGGATCAAACCAATGGCATTTGAATACGACAAGGTTAAGAGGTTTATGCACCATGAAACCTAAGTTCAGTATATTTCTTCAATTTTCCATAATACTCGGCCCCATCAAGGCCGCCAAAGAAAAACTCCGAATTCGTGGTTCTTCGATTGGGCCGCTCTCGCTCGTGTCTTGTTGTGTGAAATCGGTATCCATTCACATCATAACCAGAAAATGACTTGACCCTATGTTCAAAGCCATTGGCAACCTGTCTCAACTCTGGATTCATAGTCAAATCGGTTTGGCTCTGCAAGGTCAAGGAGGATAGATCGTTAAATTAGAATGTACAAGCAACTGGGAATGTTTATCAGCATCCGGTAGTAATATCTCTTTACTTGACCTCCCGTTGTTTCATTTTTTTTTGTTATGAACTTTGAAACATTAAACTTTGGTGTGGTGAGGGGGAAAAAGCATTCTCTGCAGCTTTTTCAGGGAGCAGTTTACTAGCAAGATGCATTCTTGGTATTGTTGTTGGATTAAGCTAGAAAAGGTCAGAAAATAAGTCTAAGAAATGGTTATTATCAAATATAATCAATCTTCTGGGCTTCTGGCTAAGTTTCATGTTACTAGAATCAGTTAGACTCGAAACAAGCAGATTAAGCTGCATGCACCATAAACCTTTCCGTGCACTGAAATCCATCCTAGTATTTCATTTGCACTATCAACTGAACATTTTTATTCTCCTGATGGCTCCTGGAACTAAAATCATAAATTATTATGCCTCGTGCAGATTTCTGTGTTTGAGTAGGGGTCAGCAAATATGGATTAAGATTTAAGAGTGAATGTTGTGACAAGGCTGACTATTCAGATGACTCCTGAATTTCAGAAATGTAAATCTTGAGCACGAAAGATGTTGTGACAAGGCTGCAATCTTTTGTCTACAAAGAGTTCTTATGTGGGTTCTAATCACAGGAACAATGTATAATTGACATTCCCTCAAGCTTTTATTTATTTATTTATTAGATATTTAGATTCTGGGACCTGGTTTATTGTGTGATGCTATTCTTATTGCTCTTTTGATTTTTATTTATTCCTCGTATTAATTATGAGGTTGTTTTTATCAAAATTTTCCTCATCAGCCCAGAGTGTGGAACATCACTTCTCTTGCAAATTACGAATGCTGCTGCAAACCATTGGTCAAAATAGCAAGGTACTATTGTCCATTTACATGGATAAAGAACCATTTGAAAATTTTGTAATGTAATATTTACATGGGTTGATCCCTATGCGTACCTTGCACTTCATATAACATATTCATTCTGATTCACATCGGTAAAAGAAAAAAAAAGACAGAACTAAACGAAAATGATAGGGCGCCAGAATGTAAACAAAGTGTACTCCTACCTAGCTATGACGAATACACAGTTGAGTGGGGTATGTAAGTGAATTAGTATGGTTTTCAGCTATACTATTTTGGTCCTGGAAATAAATAACACAAAAATTACAAGGAACTACTCAGGGGTTGGGGTAGGCAATACAAAAAAGTTGTTGGCACTATCAAACATATATTAATCTGTCGCCCTACCTGTAGTTCGAGAAAGGATAAGAATTGACATATCGAGCTAATTCAAGAATGAAAGCGCAACATGATTTCTAGACTCTGTAGTACAAGAGGATAGCCGTGTGATACACGAGATCCAAATCAAAAGGCGAGTGGACCTAAAGTTAAGGTTATCACAACATGATTTCTAGAACTGCGCCGTTTTCACACTTCAAAAGGAAGCAAATGGAATTTTGGACATACATCTCACTCGTGAGACGAGGAACTTGGTGTGGGACTTGAATTTTGACAGGAATTTCAAAGAAATTTTAACGAAGCTAGCATTCACCGAGAAAGTATTGTGGATCAGACCTATATCCTCTGCGGCAGCCACGCTTGAAGATGTTGGTGCCTCTCCTCCTCGCCTCCTCTCGCTTGGGGAGAGGGACGGCGCGCCACTCCCTCGCCTCTCCTCCGCTATGGGCGGGATGATTAATGATCGTTGGCGCACATGCGGCGGGGCGAGACACCGGCGGCCATGCGTGGCGGGGCTAGGGCGGGCGGGCGGCCGCGCGCTGCTGCTGCGGCGGACGTGGCGGATGGGCGGGCGGGCTGGGCTGGCGGGCGGCGAGGCTCGAGGCGGAGGGCGGCGGCAAATGCAGGCGGTCAAACGGTTCACCTTTGCGGGCTGCGAGGTGGTGGGCTGCGCCAAACGCTTAAGTGGTGAAGCCACTTTGCCGAGAGCCGATCCGGGAGGCTCTCGGCAAACCTTCCTTTGCCGAGAGCCCCAGATTCGGCTCTCGGTAAAGTTATTTTTTTTCAAATTTCGTTCAATTTTTAACTAGCTAACTGCACAAAAAAATATAAAAAATATAAAAAAATAAAAATTATTATTTGCCGAGAGTAGCTCTCGGCAAACCTCTTCGCCGAGAGCCAGCTCTCGGCAAACAATTGATCCAGGCCAGGTAAAAAAAAGAAATCTACGCCGAGAGCGGGTCTAGTTGCTCTCGGCAAAGAGTCTTTGCTGAGAGCAATCCCCTGAAGCTCTCAGCAAATAATATCCAAAAAAAATTAATAAACAGCAAACGGCTCCGGAAAAATACGAATTTTTGCCGTGTTACAACTTATGCTCTCTAATGGCTATACAAAAAGTTTGGAACTCCAAAACTAATTTGACCGTGACATTGTTTGAAAATCCTAATGACTCCTTCTCAACTTTATGAAACTTATTCAGAGATGTCTCAGATTGTAAGAATCATACGCAACCACTTGTGCGAAACATTTTCAATTTTTTACCACAGCCTCCAAGTGTGATACCATGACTTCATTGCAAATATCACAATTTTCCGACTTCGTTTCCTTTTTTAAGAATTTTTAAATCGTTGGGCGACAAATGTTCGTGGTCTTCGATTCGTAAAATAAAAGGTGAAAAAAACGTCAACAAGTTGTTATTTGCCCTCAATAATGCATAAATAGCATGAATATCATTTTCTACTTAATTTTTTCCCTTGTTTAAATCAATCGCTGTTCAAATTTTAATCGATTAAAAAAACTCCTTGAAATGCAATTAATTAATTATATATAGCAAATAATTACAAAAATACACAAAATTTTAATATTGAGTACAACCTATAGTATGTCTATAGAGAAAAAAGTTTGGAGCATATGAAAGAAAAAATAATTTAATTGGAGAGAGTTAGGAGAAGAGAAACACATACACATGAAATATAGAAACCACATTTGCCGAGAGCCTGGGAGGGGCTCTCGGCAAATATTTGCCAAGAGCGGCTCTCGGCAAAGAGTTTTGCCAAGAGCAGTGACGGAGGGGCTCTCGGCAAAGCGGTGACGCCGTCAGGGCAGGTCACGGCTATGGGCCCGCGGCAATGTTTTGCCGAGAGCCTGATTTTGCCGAGAGCGCGGCCTACGGCAAAGGACCGTTTTGCCGACGGGTATTTTTTGCCGAGCGCAGCTCTCGGCAAAACGGCCCACTTCGCCGAGAGCTGTTGCTTGCCGAGATGCAGGCCCACGGCGATCCTGTCACTTGCCGACGGCCGATGTTTGCCGAGAGCTGCTCTCGGCAAACGTTTTCTTTGCCGAGAGCTCACGTTTTTGCTCTCGGCAAAAATATAGGATCTCGGCAAATGACGTTTTTCCGGTAGTGGGAGACGTGGGAACATGTCGCTCACCGCGACCGTTTCGAGCAGATCAGCTACCTCTTTCGTCATCGCACGGAAACTTGGGGGATCCATGCCCCCGAGCTTGTTCCCGAACACCGCCCTCGAGATGACAGTGTAGGTTAAGCTGACGATGAGCTCACTTACGTTGATTCCTCGGCGACTGCCGCTTTGGTCCTCCATGGCGCTCGAGGCGCGGATCCGGGACACCAACGACGCGACCTCCTCTCCCCGGAGAGCACGCAAGGAGTCGACCCGCTTGACGCTGAGGAGGTGTACGACGGCGATGCGGCGAAGCTGGCGCCACCGCTCCCCGTAGGGGCTGAAGCCGACATCCCTGCAATCGTACAAGATGCCGCGCGCCGTGCGCTGCTGCGGACGGCCACAGAAGACGTGGTCCTGGTTCTTGAGGTCCTCCTCGGCCATGGAGGCAGAGGAAATCACTAGAACGGGCACGGTGCCTAGCCGGAGGAGAAAGATGTCGCCGTGCTGCCGCGCGAGCGCCTGCAGCTTCCGGTGGTGGTGTCCCCAGCCTAGCTGGTGCATGTTGCCGATGATTGGCAGCCCAGGAGGCGAAGGCGGCAGCACTCGGCCAATATCGTTGCGGCCTGACTTGAGGCGTCTAATGATGACGAAACATGAAGCTACGAGAAGTAGGAAGAGGGCTAGCAGGTGTAGGTCCGTGCCGAGCTGAGGGGGAGCCATGAGTAGCAGACCTTTTGCAGCGTACTGCGTACACTCCCAAGTCCCAACCAAAGAAGATGGAAGGAACTACGCTTGTATCCTAGGATGGCGATGGCGACAGCAAGGCACTGGGGAGCCACGCACGGCACGGAAACACGATTGGTGCAGCCAAAATTGCCAACAAGAGGATGAGGAGCGGACCGACCACATGCTCCCGGCTTTCGTGTTCACTTATTTCGAGCACACGTCGTTTTGACAAAATGGTTAGCCCATATGTGGCGTTGGGTGCAAAATTATTTCTAGTAGTGCTAGAGAGAAAACGACGACAGATAAAAAGTCGCCTACTAATGAGTTTGTCTCCCACTATCCAAAGAGATATCCGTAATACCTAACAAAACTTGTTCGACAAAATAATAACAACAAATTATAGATCCTAAGTCATACCATCTTTACTTTTTACCATTTTTTAAAAAAAATACAATAGTATTTATGATATTAAATAAGTATCATGAAATATATTTTCATAATATATCTATTTAGAATTATAATTAATGATACTCCCTCCACTCTAAATTATAAGATGTTTTGGTTTTTTAGATACATAGTTTGTTGATAGCCAAAAGTGTCAAAGGAGATTGAATTCATAATTTCTAACACAAACAAGCTTAGCCGGTTTCCCAAATCGGCTAAGTTGGTTTTGTTACTTTGTCAAAAGGCATGATGGACCCAGAATTGCGTTGCTCTTGTTTCTACGATCGAAGAAAATATATATATGGATAGTATAGTTTGGAGTCTAAATGAAGAAAACGGGATTTGAGGGCTTTATCCAAGCAAAAACTATCCTGGCCAGTTTCTAAAATCGGCCAGGCTAGATTTATCAACTCTCTAAATTGAAAAATGGATTACACTATTGCATTCCTCTCGTCGAGATGATTAAAAACATATAAATACAGTCCAATTTAGAGTCCGGATGAAAAAATTATAGCTTCCGGATTTTGCCCTCGACATGCAAAAACCGGTCTAGCCAATTGGAAGAAGTTTTCTACTGAGATAAGACCACCGTCTCTATATATATTAGAGGATCACGATTGATTGAGATAATCCAACATACTATTGTCAAAAACACATTTATTACACCTTTCACCCTCTCTTTCTCTCTACTACTTCTCATCGTTCTTCATTGTTGCTGCATGGTTAGTGGATCAACGATGACGAAGCTATCAGGCCGGTTAGTGGATCAATTCAGATTTTTATGATCTTTGCTTGGCCTTTCAGAACAATTCAGCTTGCTTACATCACCTTGATTCCAAAAAAGGAGGCTGCAACATGTGTGGGCTTACATCACCTTGATTATAGGCCAATCTCTCTACTCAATACCTCTACGGAAATCATTACTAAACTTTTTCCTAATAGGCGCCAACAAGTGATAACTGATTTGGTACACACTAATCAGTATGGTTTCATTCGAACCCATACTATACAGGACTGCATTGCATGGTCTTTTGAACACATTCATTTGTGTCATGCTTCTAAGAGAGAGCTCATCATTCTTAATCTGGACTTTGAAAAAGTGTTTGATAAGGTGGAGCACGAGGCTATGCTACTGATCATGCAACAAATAGGTTTTGGGTTCCTATGGGTCCAATGGATGCGGGCCATTTTCAGCAGTGATGTTAAACGAGACTCCTGGGAAAACTTTTCATTGTCAGCATGGTGTCAGGCAAGGAGATGATCTACTCCAACCCCCCCCCTCTACTTTTCATCCTTGCAACTGATCTTCAGTCCCTTTTGAATAAGGCTAAGAATCTTAGACTTCTGAAGTAATCCATTCCTCTTTGGCATAACTCCGATTTCCTGGTTTTACAATATACTGATGACACTTTGATTGTCCTTGAGGGATCTCCACCACAACTCTTCTTCTTAAAGAGCTTTTCTTAATACATTTGCTGACTCTACGGGTTTGAAGGTGAATTATGCTAAGAGAGTGATGTTTCATATCAAAGTTAGTGATGCAAAACTAGAAATTCTAGCTCACACGTTTGGGTGCTAAAAGGGCCTTTTCCCTTTTACATATCTAGGCTTACTTTTGGGTTTAAGCAAGCCGAGGGTGGAAGATTTCTGGCTTTTATCAATCATTGTGAAAGAAGACTTGTCAGCACAATATCTTTTATCTCCGAAGCAGGTCGATTGGAATTAACGAACTCGGTCTTCTCGGCCCTCATGTCTTTCTAAATGTGTACCTTCAGGTTGCCTAAGACGGTTGTTAAACAAATTGATAATTTTCAAAAACATTGTCTATGGATAGGGGCTGAACTCAATGCAGCTCAACCTTCCAAGGCTGCATGGGAACTAGTCTGTAAACCAAAGGAAGAAGATGGTCTTGGTGTATTAAACTTACGGATTCAGAATGAGGCACTTTTGCTCAAGCGTTGGCATAAATTCTACAACAAATTGGATATTCCATGGGCGCATCGTCTGATCCGGGAATGCTACTACCACAATCATAAATTACTGAATCATATAAAAAAAGGCTTCTTCTGGTGGCGAGATCTCCTGAATATTTGTGAAACTTACAAGGGGATGGCCCCTCGAATCCTCCAGGATGGTCGCACCTGCAGCTATTGGGAGGATCCTCTCTAGGAGCAACAAGTACCAAAGATTACCTACCCAGAGCTCTTTTCCTTTACAAAGCATCTGACCATACCTGTCGGGGACTAATATTAGGGTACCCGAAGAGGAGGAGCTAATGACCGTCAACGTTAATTCATCCGCGCGATCAAGAGCGAGACTACACCGCTTCCCGGATCACTCCTCGTCCATCCACCGAGACCATGGGCCCCGCCTCAAGCTAACTCCCGAGGGCTGGCTCCGCCTCGCCCGACGTCTAAAGGCAAACTCTGTCTCGCCCGACCCCCGTGGGTTGGCTCCGCCTCGTCCGACGTCCGGGGGCTGGCTCCGCCTCGCCCGACGTCTGAGGACAGACTCCGCCTTGACCGACCCGGGGGCTGGCTTCGCCTCGCCCAACGTCTGAGGGCAGACTCCGCCTCGCCCGACGCCCAGGGGGTGGCTCCGCCTCGCCCGACATCCGGGGGTTGGCTCCGCCTCGAATGACGTCTGAGGGCAGACTCCGCCTCGACCGACCCCTATGGGCTGGCTCCGCCTCGCCCGACGTCTGAGGGTAGACTCTGCCTTGCCCAATGCCCGGGGGGTGGCTCCGCCTCACCCGATGTCCGGGGGCAGACTCCGCCTCGCCCGACGTCTGAGCGCTGCTCCTTCATAACTACACACGCAGATAAGGCAGGGCACTCAAGTCAACCGCAATACCGAGGACCATACCATGCGCGCCTGCAGGAAAGTACCGTTAGGATATGACAAGATGGGCGCTTTAAAGCCCTTCTAGGCATGTCAGAGCCCGAACAGTGATGTAGGCGCCGACATTTGTCTTACAGTGTTGTGGGCGTCGACATTTGCCCTCGGGCGCGGATCCTGACGGAAGAATACGACAACCACTATGGTCCAGGAGGAGACTCGCATCATCTACAGTGATGGACGTGCGGTCACTACGCCGTCTGCTCCCCGTAGGGTCAAGGATCAATACCCTGGTTCGCCGCGCCGCCCACCGGGGCAGGATGGGACGTGACCACTTGTTGACAAAGCCAAAACATGGCGTCATCCGCAGACAGACGCCCAGCGCGGCCCTATCAGGATCAGTGGACATGCGCCCAGCATGGAGTTTTCCCTGGCATCGTCTGTCGTGTCAGGGAGGGCTCACTCTAAGGAAAAGGAAGACCTGTCATCTTTGAAGGACCTCCTTGGCCTCTAGTTTTTCTTCTTTCTCCCATCTGTAATCTCTGCTTCCTCTTGGTCTATAAAAGGGAAGGCAGGGCACTCCACTACGGGGGGGGATTGATTGAACACACCACGCATCACATCACACAAAGCTGAGCAACGACCAAGCTCTCAGCACCCATTCGACCTTTCCATCAGAGACTTAGGATCTTTCCCTCTCTTGCCCGTTTGTAACCCCTACTATGAACTTTTCAGTGCAAATAACACGAGTAGCAGCCACGAACTAGACATAGGGACATTCTGCCCAAACTAGTATAAACCTTGTGTCTATTTAGCACACCATCCGGGTCAGATGCGCAATAACACAAATTTACTCATTGGTGTTCACTCAAAACACCGACAGTTAACATTAGGCCACAGATGGCTAGCCACGGTATTAGCTGGGTCTCGGGCGCACACGTGTGCTTCAGGGACCTAGAATTCATCATCACAGTGGGAGGAGAGTTGGCATTGGCTCACGCCGCCATCCAACCTCTCCCCTCCATCGGCCTCGACTACGGGAGGCTTGAGCGCCAGCTTAGCGTCTCCCTGGGACCCCAACCGTCTAGGGAGGACCCGCGCTGCCTCCCCTTCTCTAACGCCAATGTCATGGCGTGGCTCGTCGGAGGGGAACCCCTCTCTCCGAAACACCTCATACGGAGCACCCCGACAGTGCTTTCGTTCGGTCTCAGCAACGCTGCGGCGACCGTTAGCCACCTTGTGGCACAACGCATGGTCCCACCTCCCACGAATGACTAATTCGTGGGGGTGATCGAACATGTTGTGGAATCATTCCATGAACTCTTGGCAGAGGAGCTAGAGTCGCCCTCTGGCTCTGACTCCAGCAGGGGAAGCCATCACCCCTCTCGTGAATGCTTCATGACGGGCACCCCCAAAGGGCACGTCGAAAGCATCCACGTGGGGGAGGCTACCCCAACAAACAACCTCGACGACGAGGCCAAGAGGGAGACAGTGGCCCCGCCACGCATGCCGATGGAGCAGCTGAAAGCCCGACACCTAAAGATCGAGGAACTGCGACTCCAGCTCGAGCAGGAATACGCAGAGCGTGATCAGGAGATCGAGCGCCACGGAGACGGTGGGCGCGCCCGCGCCATGGCCCGCAACGTGAACCGAAGGATCATCGCCGATGATGAAGCCCTCCCTCGCTTTGCCCGGGTGAGCCAGAACATCGC